AATATCAATATTGTATTAAATCTTAATTGATTCACACTCTGATAAAGGACAGAGATGGTCAAACTAGATTTAAAACAAACAAAAACAAAAAATACACAAGACCTATATGCTGTTTTCAAGAGAATAATGGTAAATAAAAACGCACTGATAGAAGACTCCCCCTTCTGCCCAGGAAGGGTTAACCACTTGGATAAGTGACCTCTAATGGTGGACAAGCACACGTATGAAGCAACCACTTTCGAATATCATAGGCAGCTCAGGAATGGCATTCCCTGAAAAGGCAAACAAACTCTCACTGCCCTGCTGGCTACCGGGAGGGAGATTAGAGGGTGCAACCCAGGGAGGGAAACCCCAGCAAGGACCAGACTTCTCACTCAGCTGAGGAACAAAGCTCAAAGTTCAGGGAGGTCCCGGTGGCTGCCATTTGTGGAACAAAATACTACAGAGGAGAGGTGTGCACAGCAATCTGCAGAGAGCATTGAATCTTCGACTGAATTGAACAAAGTGTGAAACTCCAAAAACCTGGAGAAAGAACCACCAGAAAACCGCAGGGCACACAATGCCAGGACCTCACATAGGACTGGGAAGAGTCTACTCCCACTAGCCAAGACGGGAGGTCTCCTAATACGAAGAGCATTGGACAGAGCCCACAAAAAGGCGCTCTTAGTGGAAATAAGTTCTCACTGGACTCAGGACTGCTAGGTACAAGTCCTGATAAACCTTAAAAACAATGTTTGAAAATGATCATACAAATCCCACATAACATAACTGCATACCAGAATAAAGTTCAACACGCTAAAAGAAATACAACAAAGTTGAGTAATAAACTACAAAAATGGCAATGCCTAGGATACCATACAAAGTAACTGAGCTGGAAATTATGATCCATAATTAGTGAAAAAGATATATATCAATAGAAAAGGATGAGGAAATGGCACGGATGATGGAATGAGCCAAGAAGGATTTTTAAAACAGCTATTAAAAGAATTATCCATGCACTCAAGAATACAGAAGAAAAGAGAAGTGAAAAATATAAAGTCACTAAAATACAATTTCTAACACAAAAGAGGTATAGCTAAAAATCCAAGAGGTATAGATGAAAAATAAAATATGCAAAATGAAAAATAAATTCACTGGGGAAAGAAAAGTCTTTTCATCAAATACTGTCAGACACCTAAACACGCTTGCAAAGGGGTGAAGTCCCTCTCTGACAACACCTGCACAAGGCGATCAAAACAGATCAAAGACCTTAATGTAAAAGCTAAAACTATTAACCTTTTTTTATTTCTTACATTTTTATGTGTGGACTTTAGAGAGGGAGGAAGGAAGAGAGAGACAGAGAGAAACATCAGTCTGTCATTCCACTTATTCACGCATTCATTGGTTGCTTCTTATATGTGATCAAACCCACGACTTGGCGTTTCAGGACAATGCTCTAACCAACTGAACTACCCAGCAAGGGCAAAACCATTAAACCCTAAAAAAAAAAGACAGGCATAAATCTTTGGTATCTTATGTTATGCATGGTTTCACAGGAATGTCACGAGAAACAAAGAACAGGATAACAACAACATTAAAAACTTCTGTGATTCGAAGGACGCTGTCAAAAAAGTGAAAAGACAACCCACAGAATGGGAGGAAATATTTGCAAATCAATTTTTGACATTGGATTTGTATTCAGAATATGTAAAGAACTCTTACGGTTCACTAATAAAAAGACAAATACCACAATTCAAAAATGGGAAAAGAACATGATAGACATTTCTCCAAAGACGACAGACAAGTGGCCAAAAGCACATACAGCCCTTATGATATGAAATGTTAAAGGGACTTACCTAAGAAAAAGAAGATAAAAAAGATGAACAGTGAAAGGACAGCAAACTCACAGTTAGTAACAACCACACCTAAAACAAAAGCAAACTAAGAGGACAGCTAGATCAGGAGCAGAACCATAGAAATGAAGATCACATGGAGGGTTAGCAACAGGGGAGCAGGAAAAGGGGGGAGAAGGTACAGAAAATAAGTAGCATACACGGTAAGTAGAAAATAGGTAGGGGGAGGGCAAGAATAGTAGGGGAAATATAGAATCTAAACTTGAGACACGTGGTCATAAATTAAAGGGGGAATGGTGGGGGAGGGGGTCTGCAGGGTGGAAGAGAATGAAGGGGGGAAATAGAACTGTAATGGCATAATTAATAAAATATATTTTTAAAAAATGTTCAGCATCATTAGCCAAGAAGAAATGGCAAATTCAAACCACAGTGAGATACCACTTCGCTGTCTGACAAAGCTGTGGAGTTACTGGAACCCGTGCGCACTGCGGTGGGAATGCAAGACAACGCCACAGCTTTCAAACAGTCTGGCAGCTCCTCCGAAGGTTCAACAGAGTCTCCATTTAACCCAGATATTCCCAAATCTGGGAATATAACCCAGATAGCCCAAGGTAATGAAAACATGTCCACACACAAACCTGTACATGGATGTTCACAGAAGCACTGTGCAAAAAGCAAAAAACTGGGAATGCCCTAATGTCCATGAAGTGCTGAGCGGATAATCAAAATGTGGTATTCTCTGATAACAGAAAATTATTTGTTAAAGAATCTTAGTACAACATGAATAAACCATGAAAATATTATGCATAGGGAAAGAAGCTAGTCACAAAAGACTACAATTGTATGGTTCAATTTATATAAAATACCCAGAATAGGCAAACCCACAGAGATATAAAGATTACTGGTTGCCTAGGGCTGACGAGGGTAAGTGGGGGTGCAGCATTCAGTGACTGCTAATAAGCATCTGGTTTCTTTGGGGAATGATAAAAATGTTTTAAAATTCACCATAGTGTTGGCTGCATAATTCCGTGAATATAATAAAAGCCACTGAATTATACACTTTATTTTTTAATTTATTGATATTTTGAGAGAGCGAGAGCACAACGTGGGTTTGTTGTTCCACTTCTGCATTCTTCTGCTTCCTGTAAACGCCCCGGCTGGGGATCAGACCCACAACCTTGGAATATCAGGACGATGGTCCTACCAACTGAGTGAGCTACCCGTCCAGGGCTGTTATACATTTAAATGAGTAAACTGTACAATGTGGTAGCCTTATGAGAAAATAATCAAACAGTAATGATCGCCTCTGGAGTGTGACAGGGACCAGACATACAATGGAATATTCCCTCTGATGATTAGGTATGTTGCGTGGCACAGGTGAGTTTAAAAAAGGGAGATCATTCTGGCCGAACCCAACTGGATCCCTCACAAAGCATCAGAATCTACTTGAAGAAAGAGACTGAAAGGTGAAAAATCCCCTTTGAGTTTTGGGGACTCTACATTGCCAGGGGAGATGAGGAGGGATGTCAGGAAAAGACTGTGAGAGTTCTTTACAAGCTGAAGCGGTCACTGCCAGACAGCCTACTGGAAAATAGGCACCTCAGTCCTACAACTAAAAGGAACTGAATTCTACCCACAATAAGAATGAGCTTGGAAGCAGACTCTTCCCCAGAGCTTCCAAACTAAACTCAGCCTGACCGACACCTCCATCTCAGCCTCTGGAACCTGGAGCACAGACGGCAGGCAGGATCCATTCGATTCAGATCTGCTGTATGAATCAACAGTTTGCTCTTTTTTGTTTTCGTATGTATTTCAAAGGTCATGCAGCGGGTATGGTTCCCCGGCATACGGCACACCCCGTGCCATATCCCCTTGGTCCATCTGGTTTCAGGGCAACAAATTGACAGCATCACACCTGGAGTGGATTCTGACATAATCTCTTCACTTTTCTGCTGCTGCATTTTCAAGAGTGCCGGGGAAAGTTACTAACCAGACATGGGCCCAGCTCAGAAGTGCAATACCCCAGGCACCAATCAGCCAATGGGGGACGAGAGTTAGTGGATAAATGCCCGCCCCTCCCTGTGCCTTGATGAGTTAACTCTGAGGAACCTTCCACATGGTTTTTCCTAAGTCCTTGGGGGGTCTGAGTCCACATTCTCCCTATGTAGGAGCCACCTGAATAATGCACTTTGATGGGGTTTTTCACTGTTCTCTGATTTCTTTCCTACCTCAATGGTGCTTCCCAGGTTCACCTCCCAAATAAACGCTCCTACCCAGTCCTGAGTCGGGCTGCTACCTGTTCTAGAACACTCTTTCCCCAGATATGCCCAGGACTCACTCCCTCATCTACAAATTACTTGTCACCCATCAGTAAGAGCTTCTCTTTTACCCTATTGAAATAGCAAGCCTTATTTCCCCCTTCCTTGCCTTATTTGTTTAATTGCACTTACCACCACCTAACTTTATATGTGTATGTACATGTAACCAGTCTTGTTAATTTCAGGTAGAATACAGTTACCATGGCTGCAATGATTTCACTCTAATTTGTTCATTGTTATATGTCTAACATCTAAAATACTCCTACACATAGTAGGCACTCAAAAATACATTGAATAAATTAATTTTTCAAGAAGGCTGATTTATTCAGTTAGAAAAGACTTCCTACAGGAGGGAACCTGAAGACTAGTAATTACTGACCTTCAAAACTGAATAGCAGTGAAGACCAATGGCAGCTTATTAAAAGGAGGCCAGTGGACTTCATCATAGAAATTATAGAGAAAATTCCCATACTTAGCATGAAGTTTGACTGGACCCTCAGACTTACCTTTGAATTCTAAGATGTTATAATACTAAATAAAAAACAGGCATAAGCCAATATTATTTCATCTAAACAGGTGACATGAAACCAAATCTAATAATTATATGCAAAGCATCTGGTTACTCTATTTAATGATTCCAAACAGAACAACATCTATCCAACAGAAACAGATATAGGGAAGAATAATTTTTATCACTGAATTTTGAGCATCTTCATTGTTATTTGTTTGTAAATCTGTATGACAAGAAGGGGGAAAAATATTTTTGGTTTTAAAATTATTTGAACAATAATTTGATTGAAAAACAGAACTGTTGGAAAACCTGAAACTGTCTTCATTGTATTCTTATTACCTGGACACTGGATAAAGGACCACTCATAGTTCTTTTCTTTGGGACAAAGGCTGGTGTCAAGAACCACCTCGTTGCTGTGCATTCCGACAAGCTTCAGGGGTCCACGGGAAGACCCTTCCACGCAGTGTCCTCTCCCCGTATTGCTGGGGTCGTTGCACCAGCCACACCCAGGCTGCTCCAGACACTGTCCGCAGGTTCTCAACCCGGAGCAATTCTGAGCTGCACAAGAGCATGAACAAGCACGTTACAGGGCTTTACATTCAAACAGAACCGTAAGCTAAGGGAAAAATAAACATGATCTGAAAAAGAGACTGTGGCAGGTCATCTATAGTTTAAACAGCTTTGTTTAATGCCTAAAGAGCAACAACTTAGAGCAAAGAAAACATTCATCATGAGCAAAGAGGAGATAAAGGAGACTTGAGGTTAAAAATGCGTGGTGACTATGACATGGAGAAAAATGAAGTCAGAACTTAAAGACTCCTGATCTTTGCCAGGATGCGGACCTCCCAGGGCCTCTCCAGGGCCCCACGGCCCACATTTCCCATTGTCTGGGTTGCAGAGCCCCATCACCTGTTCCCGTGCCTAGTGAGGGCCTTCGAGGAAAACCTGCTCCTGCTCAGTGTGCAGGTGATGCCTGCCCACCATCCCCCGGGAGAGCCAAGCCACTTCGGGACTGCCTCACATGGATGATGCTCTTTCCAGGGGTCCGAGACACCAGCGTTTGGCTACCGTGTGATGAGTGAACTGGATCTCACCCAGACAGCTACGCTGAATGGGAACGTGGAACCCGGGTTCTCTACCTCACTCAGGCAGCCAGCAGCACAGGCCGACTCTGACTTTCAGGGCTGCAGAATCTACCACTCCGAGACTCACTCACTGAAGCTCAACCTTTTTTGTTTAACTGACATGTAACCTATGACCCTCAACAAAGCCTACCAATACCGGGGTGTCTTTTCTAAGGATGAACTTACTATATAGTCTGCCACCATGGTTTTGTAACAGTTCCTGTGTACCCAACATTGGGCTGAGACTTTAGTACTTTTACTGAGATTTTGCTACAACAGGCACACTTTGTCCTGGAAATTGTGCATCCACAGAAGACGGTGACACAGGGACAAGGCACCATGAACAACGTCTTCCAGTCACACTGTTTCCCAAAGGGGGAACAGAAGGAGGATTTCTGGCAGACTCAATTTCCCCGCTGTGGGAGGAGTAACTTAATGGCCACTCGGTGCTGTAACATCGCTGTAACCAAACTGTTCCCCAGACCGCTGCAGGCAATGGCCTGAACATCTCAGGGAACATCAGGGATTCAATACAGAGAACTGTGCAGGGGTAACAATGTTGGTCAAAGTGCTCATCAACCACAGTGTGATTTGTGGTTGCGAATTTTTTGCATGTGAAGCATTTCAGAAATTGGATGTAAGAAGGTGGAAAATGAGTAGCATCTCCTCTGTTTTATGAATAATAAAATTAATATATGAAGAATATTTATTCTTTGAGTCATTAAACACAAGTGACGAATGTTAACCCTGTAGAAAATTCATTCTTGAGCATTTAATGCTGACTTGAAAACTGGTAGAGTCTAATGGTTTTTCTTTTTCTTACAGAAAACAATAATGACATGAAAGCAAAGTTATGGATGGTACGGAAGCTACATACGAGCTACAAGCAACTAGAGTAATCATTTTTACTTTATTTTAGGCTTTTGAAAGATGAAGTTGTAATATCTTTACTATGGTTTTTGATGTACAGAAAAATTGGAAAAATCAATCTTCAGGAAAGTGAGTCATCAAATGATGACTAAAGACTTCCGATTTCCAGGTCAGTGGGTGAGGGGCTTAGAAGCCTGTGGTCCATCCTAACGGAAAGTAAAAAAGCTGCATACACTGAAAGATCTCCAATTCTTAGATCCATCAGAGCAGTGAGGTCTCAGGGCACACCACTACCCCTCAACCTGCACAGACAGACAGATGGACAGAGAACGTCTCAGTTTACCAAGCCTACCTCTGCGGGAACCAGGGCCAGGGTAAGGCGACCGAGCTGTAACAGATGAACTGCTGGAGGCTGACCGTGACAGTTCAAGTCTCCAGGGCACCCAGTCACAGGAGGCACCCACACCCCTGTGAGCTTTATCTCCAGGAGCTCTGCCAGGTCCCCACGGGAAATATCAAAGAAAAAGTCCCCCGTGCTCCAGGCAGGAGGGAGAGGAAAAGGAATCACTTTAAGATATGCTGAAGCATTCTGTTCTAGAGCCTGACCAGCCGGGGTGTTATCAGATCCTACCTGACCCGATTATAGGGAAATACCTAGCACTAGCAAGGGTGGGGGAAGAAAAACACACAGACTCAGCTCCCTCAGCCATTCAATACCACCTAAGAGAGGGGAAAAATACCAGGAAGCTTGTGAACTTCACAGTATGGGGCAGAGGCCCACCAAAAGACTGAGGCCTGACCACAGAACGATACAATACTTTCCCTCCCTCACACCTTTCCACTACATCACTAAAGGCCACCTTCCAGCACTTTCTGTTACTCGTATATCATATCTGGCTATCAAGAAAAAACTACAAGGCACATGGAAAAGCAAAAAGAACACCAATTCCAGACACTGGGCGAGCAGCAGCCCAGACGACAGGGACGCTGGAATTACCAGAACGGGAATTTAAAACAACTCTGATGAACAGGCCGTGGGCTCTGACGGTCAAAGTCAACAGCATGCAAGAACAGCTGGGCAATGTAAGCAGAGCTGCACGTAGGAAAAGCTAGATGACCTTGGGTTTGGTGATACTTTAGTTATGACACCAAAGGCACAACCCACGAAAGAAAGAACTGATAAACAGAGCTTCATTAAAATTTAAATTTATTCTTCTCTGCAAAAGGCACTGTTAAAGAAAAGAAAAGGCAAGACATAAACTGAGAGAAAATATTTGAAAAAGACACATCTGATAAAGGGCTGTTATTCAAAATACACAACCCTTAAAACTCAATATAAGAAAACACAACACCCGTTTAAAAAAACGGGCTAAAGACACTTCACCAAAAAAGATACACCGATGGCAAGGATGAAAAGGGGCTGCACGACTTACATAATCAGGGAGCTCAAACTTAAACAACAGTGATACCACCGGCACCTGTGTGACACAGCCAATACCCAGAACCCCAGCCTCAACAAATGCTGGAGACCCCGTGGAACTGGAAGGAAACACAGTAACTCCTGATCACTGCTGGTGGGAAAGCAAAATACAAGAACTCTGAAAGACAGTTGAGTGATTTCTACGAAACAAAACACACTTTACCGTACTAGCCAGCAATCCCACTCTTGATGTTCCCCATATAAAATGAAAGTGTACGTCCACACAAAGACCCGCAGCTGGATGTTTGCAGCAGCTGTTTGCACAGCTGTCGAAACTGCGAAGCGCCCAAGGTGTCCTTCAGTAGGTGGACGGATCAACTGTGGTACATCCAGACAACGGAATATTATTCGGCCCTAAAAATAAATGGCCTATCATGAAACGACATTTAAAGATGTAAATACATATCACGAAGTAAAGGAAGTCAATTGGAAAAGGCTACATGCTGTACGATTCCGACTGTATGACATTCTAGAAAAGGCAAAACTATGGAGACAGTAAAAAAGGTGATAATAATTGCCAAGAATTAGGAGAGAGTGGGGGATGAAGAGGCAGGGCGCTGAGGACTTTCGGGGCAATGGAACTAGGGCGTATCATGCTGTAATGACGGACACACGTCACTCCACACGTGCCAGCCCCCACAGAATGCACCTTGCCTAGGGATACCCTTGATGTGAACCTTGGGGGACAGCGGTGTGTCAGCGCGGGTAACCAGTGTAGCAAACGCAGCCCTCGGGTGGGGGTGCTGCCAGTGGGGGAAGGGTGTATGAGAAACCTCTGTCCCTTCCTCTCAATATTGCTGTGACTGCAGAGAGCCCTAAAAATAAAATTTCATTAATTAAAAAAAGGAAAGACCACCTTCCCTAACAGTAAAGAAAAAAGAAAGTTTAAATTGAGCATGTGTGTAAACCTCTAAAATACTGGAAGAAATATAGATTTCTGAGATGTATACTATATTCTTATGCTTATTATTCCATTTTTACCATATCAATTTAATTGCACTTTTATTTGAACTTCTATATATTAAGAACTAAATCTTCCACTATTGCTTCAAATAATCCCCTTGGATTTCATTTTCACAAATAGAATAGCCAACTCCTTAAAATATATTAATTATTAATAATTCTAGTTATTAGCAAAGCTTTCTTAGAAACCATCAGGCAAAATTTGTCTTAAAATATATTTCTCTTCTTCAGTTTGTGAATTTTAAGCATTACTATTATAATGTAATAACTGGAAAATACTGAAGAATATTGCAATCTCCCTGTTTGTTTCTCATTTGCAAGGAGAAGTTTCCTTCAGGTTTTATTGATTAGAAAACCTCAGGTGAGACAAAGTACGATGCCCCACTTCCCACAAAGATGCACAGGGCATATAATTTTAAAAGCTGTGAAATAAAATCTTAGCAAAGAGATAGAAAATATAAGTGAATTTAAGAAATACTGAGATACCTAGAAATTCTAACAACTGCTTACTCTCTTTTACTGTTTATTCTTTTTGGATATATTAAATAGAAGAAAAATAAGAAAGTAAAGAACATTTTTAAGAAGTGAAGAAAACTACTCTTCAGATTGAAAACCAATGAGAGTCCATTTTTAAAAATCCACATCGACAACTAGAAAACAATTTAAACAAACCACCAAACTTTGTGCTAACTGTGAAGAAAAATATCTTAAAAGCTCTCAAAGTAAAGGAAAAAACTGTTCCCCAAAGAAATGAAAATTAAATTGGCATGAGAATCTTATCCACATCAAATGCTAGAAGTTCTAAGGAAAGAATTACTTAGAACTCCACATTCATGCCAGTCTATCATTCAATCAAACATATTAAGACACTTTTAGCCATTCAAACACTTGAAAAGTTTACCGGCCACAAATATATTTAGAAATATTTACTGAAGACTATTCTCCAAAAGATGAACCAGTGAGAAAGAAGAAATAAAATACAAGACAGATTTGTGAGTGGAGAAGACGATGTGGACCTAACGCCAAGCAATTCTTGGAAACTTCTGAAGAGTATAGGAGCTTGGGTGTGTATCCAGCTCCCTTGCCCCTACCTGTCAGCCTTTTTTATCGTAAAATATAACACACATACAAAGAAGCACATAAAATATAATATCTACATTGCAATATAATACAATAATAAATTACTGTAAATACATATTTTGCACCTGCCCCCAGCCTGGAAGTGCAGCCCTGCCTCCTTTGCACCCTCTTCCCAATCAGCACCCCAATCTTCTCCCAGCAGTATCCACTGACCTTCACAAGAATACCTTTTTGCCTTACTCTAGAGCTACACCTGAATATTCATTCCGGCACCGTACAATGCAGCTTTGACTACTTTTGCATTTCATGTAAGTAAGTGGAGTCACGTAGTATGTAATCTTTTCTGTCTGGCTCCTTTCACTGAATACTAATGGTTCCTGAAAGACAAACATGACCATCAAAACAAGAGAGGCCGAGCACCCGTCTGCAGCACTGACACTCAACCTCCTCGGCAGCTGGCGCCTAGTTGGGAGATGCTTCCTGTGGCAGCGAGACCACTGAGACAAGTGGCCCCCGCTGCCACGCACTTGATCAGACACACCACCGTTCCTCATCAAAGCTCCTAAGAAGGAACAGAAGCAGGGGGCTCAGCCTATGACATATCCAGCCATGCCCATCCCAGGAACATCTCTCACTGGGTCCCGAGAGCCTAGGAGACAAGATACATACAACAACCACAAGGCTGTGGTTGTCACTGCTCCAGCCTGCGCGGTGACGCTCCTCTGTCTCAGTTTTCACGCCACGGCAGTGCCAGTAAGAAGCAAATACGGGTTTGGCTGGATCCCTGGGGTAAAAGATCCTCCTCAGCGATGAAGGAAGGTATGGAAATATCAGTGAGTCTCCATCTGCACTGTCTTAAGCTGATGGCCACCTGTGAATGAGCTCACTCCTCCAAGCCAGAAGGGCTACTAACAGGGTGGCCAAGTCATCTGAGAGCCACTGGATCCCAGAACAAGCCTCACAACAGTGGATTCACCATCGAAAGGGGTCTCAGAATGATGAAGCTGCTCTTTTTTGAGCAAGCAGCTCTTCCTCTGGCAGAAAAACCCAGAGCGCAGAAGAACGAAAGGAACACTAAACGGCAGGCCATGCGCACTGCTGCGGGACAATCACATTTCCCCACGATCGCACGGCCAGTGGTGGCTCCCAGAAGGAATGCAAGGGAGTCAATGGGCTCATGAGCAAGTCCAGGAGGAACTGAAGAAGGTGACGGGAACAGCTGTGCCACGGCCCACACTACCAGGAAACCTGCACGTGGCTACTTCCAGGAGGGACGCCGTGGCTAGCAAGGGTCTGACTGAGACAAGTGGCTTCTAACGTCTCCCAAGCAAAGGTGGCCACACGTGGTCTCCAGCTCCTACAAGACCACCAAGTGCAGTCAGCAGTGGTATGCAATTCCCTTGGTGGTGACATCTGGATGCAATCTGTCTTTGCAAGAAAAGCCACTCTCATATCCACACAGTGCCATCGGGTGTGTCCTCATCCTACAGTCCTTATAACACAGGACACCAACAAGGGGGCGGGGTCTTCTCCTGAAACACACCCACAGCAAGTCCAGAACCTCCCTGCCCACAGGACTCACCACGTGCTGCCCAGGCTGCATCCTGACTTTGCAGCAGATGTGCCACCAATGATAGGACATTCATGCCCCCAAATGCTTAACTTGCAGCTAATGATTTAAAAGGGCTTAATTTGAATTTAATCCTGATGAAACAATTAGACAAATCTGAGCTGTGAAACTTACCAAACTGGTATAGGTTCTTTCAAAATTACTAGTAACAACCACAGACATGTAGGAAAGAGCACACCTGGGAAGTGAGCAAGATTAAGGACATCAAAGAAACACAGTGAAGCGATCTGCGATTCCGGACGTGAGCCCTGTGGTGAGATGTTTGTTTGAAACACAGAGTCAGGGGGAGGATAGTGTGGCAAAATGTTAATGTGCAGAGTAAGGTACTACCTAGCAGACCTCAAAATAATGGCACAATATAAACTAGGAGCTGGCAGCGTTACTAGGTGACTGTAACAGTATTTATTCTCATCTTTAACTTCCTCCAATGTTTCATTCCTCCATCCACCATGGAAAGGGACTGACGCTGCTCTACGGAATGCACTGCGGACGAATACTCACGGGAGCAGGCGGCGGTCTGCCACTCCAGACACTGGCCGTAGGGGAAGGAGATGATGTAGGCGTTGGAGTCCACGCAGCGCTTGGTGCTGCGGCACCACATGCACTCCATGCCGTTGCTGGTGCAGTTGGAGCAGGAGGTACGCAGAGAACACGGCATTTTGCATATCCTGGCGCTCTGATTGGGGCTGACTGGAACGAGCCACAAATATGGTTATTTTATGTGTGAATGCATTTCAACACAAGTAAATGGATGGCATGCGTTTTGCCGTTTGGGGGATATTTTAATTAAGCCAAGTGTGGGATAAAAATTAAAGCGCAAATGACATGATGATATTAAAAATGAAGATGAAATGTAATACAATACATTATAGGACTGTACACGTAAAACCTATATAATTTTATTAATGTCACCCCAATAAATTCAACATTAAAAAATAAAAATAAAGATGACATATCAATACTTCTGGAATTTATTATCAAATTTAAAATTCGTGATTTCTGGAGATGTTTAATCCTTTACAAAGTACATACAGGTGTATAATGTAAAACTATAAATATAAATGTAACACCTGACCTAGTTTTTCTACCCAATGACTAGATACCCTGTACACTATCAGTATTCATTTTCCTTGCCACAATTACATAAATATTCCACACATTTTATCAAAGCAAACATCCCATCAGTGAATGTTAGTTGTATAAATAAAAATAATTTCCTATAAAATCTTTACATAAGAATATCATATTTATCAAACTCATTAGGATGATTGTTATTTTAATGTTGACAAGGATGTGGGGAATTCAGAACCTTTGTACGTGACTGTGGAGAATGTAAAGTGGTGCAGGATCTATGGCGACCAGTATGACAATTCCTCAAAAACCAAAGAGAGAATTACCGTGTGACAGAGCAATTGCACCTCTGGCTAAAGAAGTGAAAGCAGGAGCTGGGCCAGGTATGTGTACACCTAGAGCCACGGCATCATCATTCACGACAGCCAGCAGGCAGAAGGAACTCCAGTGTCCATCAGTGAATGAACGGATGGATAAACAAAATGTGGTGTGTACATACCATGGATAATTATTCCGGGTTAAAAAGAAATAAAATTGCAACATGGACGGACTTTGCTATATGCTACAACGTGGATGAACTCTGAAGACATTATGTTGGGGGAAATAAGCCATCACAAAAGAAGGACATACACCTTATGATCCCACATATGAGCCACCTGGAAGAGTCAAACTTGTAGATACAGAAAGTAAAAGGTGCTTGTCAGGGGGAGGGGGCAGGGCCGTGGGGACTTACTGCTCAGTGAGCACGGGGCTCCAGTTTGGGAAGATGAAAATCGGAGACAGCCAGTGTTGACGGGTGCACAACAAGGGCATGTACTTAATGACACTGAACTCTACTTTGAAAAGGTGGTCTAAAAAGTCAATTATCTTGCCATAAAACTGAAAAAGTGGGTTGAAATTGTACATTTTGTGTTACATATATTATTACACAAAAAATGCAATATTGGTCTAAAAAGAGAAAAGAATTCAATATTCTTTTCTCACTTTGCTGAACAAAAACCTAATTCAATAGATGTAACACAAATGTTTCTTTTTACTTTCAAACTGAAGTATAGATATGCAAGATTAAATTGGTTCTAAATTAGCTGTTAATCTTAAAGACAAATCTTTCTCCCAAAGACTATTATCATAAAAGTAAAAGACATTAACAAATTAAGATGTGTTAGTATACTATAATCATGATGACCATATGTTCAGAATCTCACTATTTCAGCCAAAAACATATAGATGGTACATAAACAATAAACTGTATTATTTTCGCACGTTAATGCCAGGGTCACTGACAGTAAGTGAGGAATGTGGATGAATTGAAAAGTCTACATGGGGAGCACCATCATAAAAAGATGGCCAAAGTTACTGCAGCCTCATGAACTGTCACAGCCTGGGAGGGGTGGTGCAGGGAGGGGCTGGAACCACGTTTTAAAGAAATGCCAGGCTGCAGAGCTACTCACCGATGGGTTTTTCACAGACAAGGCCGTCTACCATAGATGTGCAAGGGTTGGCTTTCAAGCCGGCCACCGCAGCCTTCTCCAGGTAAGCACAGAACCCAGAATCGTTGGGTTCGCCAGGAAGCCACTGCAGGGTTGTGTTTGTGAATGAAGACATGTCCTCCCATCCCCAGTAGGATATGTTGATCTTGCGCAAGCCCACCCAAGGTGTTAGTTTCTGCAAACGACAGCAAGAAGGGCATTAAAGAATAGCTGGGTATAAAAATGCTGTGTCGTATTCCTTAGCAACTCGTACATTATCCTTAAAAATGACATTGGAAAATATACAGAACTGCCTTTCTAATGGCTGCCACTACCAAGGATAATCAACAATTATGGCTCATGATGGAGAACAATGTGGACGAGAGCACTATTTTTAGCTAAACATGCTTTGTGTTTAGCTGCATGACTGGAGTTACTGTTTCGCCCTTGATAACTTCATTTTCCTCCTCTCTTCCAAGGGGATATAAACACCTATGTCATGAAGCAAGATCAATAAAAAATTTAACACATTCCTACTGCTGTAACTGCCACCGCTGCTGTGACTACCACGACCACCAGCAATGGAATCGCTTGTGGATTAAGTGTCTACCCAGAGGTTGCCGTATATGCACCGTGGGGACCCAGAAAATAGGATCCACAAACAGTAGGAGGGGCTGAGTGACAACCTTGTGACAGGTTCATGGAAGGACTGAGAATAACAACCCCTATCCCAGTTCAGACTCCTCTCACTACATTAGGACTTACAGGTAACTGTAGACAAATTAATGGCATCTATCTTCATTATTACAGAAATTAAGAAAAGAATGAAATCTTTGACTCTTGTGCCTAAATTTAACCTACAGAGGGTGGCAAAGGTCCCCAAACTAAATATTCTTAGTGCTGTTTCTACTATGTCCAAAGTAGGTTGGACACAATACAGGATTGTATTTACGTGCCTTATTTTAATCATTACTCAATTTTAAAATGTTTTTCTCATGACAATAAAAAAATAATGATATATTCTTGGTCCAAGCCACTGTCTTTGCAAAATTCAATCAGACTATCTTTTCCCCTTCTGGTTTCTGCTTCAGACTTACACCTTTTCTTTTTTGAGAGATTTTTTAATTTTTTTCTAGCCTTCCAGAGAAACGATTGACAAAAAGTATAGATATTTAAGTTGTACAAGGTGACATTTCGGTATAACTGTGAAATTACTACCACAGTCAAGCTACTTAGAATAACACAGCACGTCATACAGTTATCTCTTTTGTATGTGGGGACAACACTTCAAAGACACCGTCTTGACAAATTTCTAATATACAGTATTAACTATAATACCTGTATTGTACATGAGATCTTCAAAACTTATTTATCCTGGATAACTGACACTTTGTCCCCTCTGACCTACATCTCCACATTCCTCCCACCCCAGCCCGGGGCCACCACCATCCTACCAGCTCTGTTTTTATGAGTTCAACGTTTCATAGACTCCACAAGTGAGATCATTCACTATCTGTCATTCTCTGTCTGGCTTATTTCAAATAGAATGAGGTCCTCCAGGTTGACCCACGCGGCTGCAAATGTCAGGACTTCCTGCTTTTTAGGGCTGAGTAATACGCTGTTATCTATCTCCCATTTTCTTTATCCGTTCATCCACTGGCGAACCTTCGCTTGTTACCTTGACTACCATGAACAATGCTGCAATGAACATGGGGCCGTGGGGGCCAGGGGGCAGATGTCTCTTTGAAGTGGTGATTTAATTTCCTTTAGATATATATCCAGAAGTGGAATTGCTGAATCATATGTAGTTCTATCTTTAATCTTTTCAGTAACAGCCATACTGTTTTCCAAATTGACTACACCAATTTACCTTGCCACCAATAGTGTTCGAGGGGTCCCTTTTTGCCACATTGTCAGAACTTATTTCTTGTCTTTTTGATAACAGCCACTCCAACAGGTGTGAGATGATATCTCAGGTGCTGTTAATTTGCATTTCCCTGATGAATAATAATGCTAAGCTTTCTATCACATAGAATCACATGCCTGTTGACCATTCATGTCTTCGTAAGGAATATGTTTACTCATGGAATTTACCCTTTGCTTAACTGAGTTATTTCCTTTTCCACTGAGTTGAGTTCTTCACGTATTTTCAAGATTAACTCCTTATCACATGTCTGGTTTACAAACATTTTCTTCCATTCTGTAGGTTTTCTCCTCCTGCTGTTGGGTTGATGCAATCCTATTTGTCTATTTTTGCTCGTGTTGACTGTGTTTGGGGAGTCATAACCAAACAAAAACATCATCCTGGCCAATGTCAAAGAATTTTCCCCATGTTTTCTTTTTGTAATTTTGAAGCTTCAGGTGTTACATTGACATCGTTAACCAATTTTGATTTCTGTGTGTGGTATGAGATAAGGATCCACTTCCATGCTCCTGCATGAGGATATCCAGCATCATTTTTTGAAGAGATGTCCTTCCCCCATTGTGTGCTCTTGACTCCTCTGTCAAATAGCAATCGATCATAAATGCATGGATTTATTTCTGGGCTCTCCCAACGAGTCTTGGCAAAGATCTCTTTATGTTTAATATACATGAGGTTCTTTGAAATTCATAAATCTGGGGTGTCCAACTTTTGGTGTCTCTGGGGCACATTGGAAGAATAAGAGTTGTCTTGGGTCATACAGTAAATTTACAAACACTTAGGAAAACTGATGAGCAAAGAAAGGTTTTAAGTAAATTTATGATTTTGTGCTGGGCCACATTCATAGCCATCTGGGATGCACGTAACCCGTGGGCTGCGGCTTGGACACCCCTGAATTCTAGATGTTCATGTCTCTCTCCATATTTGGAAAGTTCCCTGTCATTGTTTCTGTTTTTATTTTTTTAACTCTTATTATATTTTTTACATTACCATTTAGTCCCCTTATACCTCCCCACCCCCCACAATCACCTCACTGTTGTCCATGTCCATGAGACCTTTTTCCTTTCTGCTCAATCCCTCCTCTCCCTAACAGCCCCCTTAGCTGTCACCTGCTCTCTGTGAGTCTGTTTTTATTTTGTTAGTTCAGTTTGTTCATTAAATTCTATACATGAGTGTGATCATACAGGACTTGTCTTTCTTGGACTGGTCTATTTCACTTAGCATATTTCTTTAAATAACGTTTTGCTTCTTTCTCTTTTCTGTGCTTTCTGGAACTCCCATAATGCAATTATTGTTATTTACGGTCTATCGGAAGTCACATAAGCTTTACTAACTCTTTTTCATTCTTTTTCCTTTTTTTCCTCTGGTTGAGTAATTTCAAATGATATGTCTGAGATCCCTGAGTCTTTCTTCTGCTTGACAAGAATCTGTTGTCGAAGCCCTTTATGGAATTGTACAGTTTGGTCATGATGTTCTCCAACTTCATAATTTCTGTTTGGTTCTTTCTCATGGTTTTCATGTCTTTGTTGAACTCATTTGGTTCATGTACTGTTTTCTAATATTATTTAATTGTTTATCTGTGTTCTCTTGCAGCTCACGGAGCTTCTTTTAGATGAATATTTTGAATTCTTGGTCAGGCGGTTGGTCAATCTCCATTTCTTCCAGCTTGGTTCCTGGTGCTTTATTTTATTCTTCTGGTGGTGTCACGGTTCCCAGACTTTTCATCCTCCCTCCTGTCTTTACAGACCAGTCTCAACAGGAAAAGCCCTTTCCCGTCATCCCGCCCAGAGGTTCTGGCTGGCTGTGTGCTGGGCTCCGAGTGCGCTTACTGCTGGAGTCCTTGGGTGGGCCGGCCTGCTGTCCACCTACTGCTATCAGTGAGTGACCAGGTCCAGAACCATGGTCCATAGGGACATACCTGGTGCTTGGGTCCAGAGGGTGAGCCATGAGCCTGAGTCCTGGGTACCAGCCTGGTACTGAGGGAACCCTGACACCCTGGCCCACAGGTATGGCCCTGGTCCTGAGTGAGCAGCACTCCAGTGGGGTTGGCCTGGGGCCAAATCAATGAGGCACACCTAGCCCTGAGCTGAGGGTGGGGAGGCCCGGCAACTGAGTCCACAAAGGTAAGCCTGGCCCCTGGGATGGTGGGGGTGGATCTGTAGCTTGGGTCCACAGAAGAGAAGCTGAAGCCTAAGTAGACTGGAGTGGGCCCGGTCCTGGGTCCACAGGTGCCAGCCTGGTGCTGAGGTCTACTGGGGAGCACCAGGGCCCTAGGGCTGCTGGAGCATAGGGCCACAGAGGGTCATCTTGAAGGCTGGGTCCGTGAACACCAACCTGGAGCTTGAGGCCACAGGGGCCAGCCTGGCACTGGGGCATCCCTGGTGCCCGGATCCACGGGGACTGGCCAAGCAGCAGGGTACGCAGGGCTGGCCTAAAGCTGGTGTCCACGACCAAGGCAGGTACCCAGTTCACTCCTCCCTTTCTATGAGAGCGGTACTCACAGGTCACTGCCCTGTGCCTTGAGGAAAGGGTGATGGCAGGTAATAGGCGACCAGCTTGTCTACCCTCTTCTGTAAGTCCTTCCTAATTTCTGTGTTCCTCCCGATGCTGTAATCTCTCGGCTGGATGCCTCGCTCTTGTAAGAGTATTTTTGTTCACAGACAGCTGGCTGTTCAAATCGACGCTTCTCTGAGTGGATAACCACTGTAAACTCCCATCTGTCTTCTTCCTCACATCATTCTTAAACATTTCTACCTCAATATACATGACGATAATTTTATTTTCTGAGTTACTAAGCTAATAAAATCATATTATAAGGCAAAATGGTTTGAAAACTCCACATCATCCTTTTCCCCCCGAAATTATGAATTATACCTCTCCATTTGATTCTTTAACAAAATAGAAATAAGAGATATATGTTCAGTATTTATTCTCAATATATTACATGAATGGTCACAGAGAACTCATAAAAATGGCCGTAGACCCAGAAATTTGTAAGAGTGTAAATACACTTTAAAATGTTTACATAGTTACCAACAAATATTTCTTAAATAAGATTAAAACATGTATCTTCATTGCGACAGCAGACCTCATGTAACCTAGCAGAGTAGCACCATACACATAGTAGGTAGTCGATAAATTCTGTTACACGAAGTTCATTGGAACAGAGATAGTTATTTCCCACCGGCCAGTCCCTGAGACAGAGGGAGCACTTAATAAACAATGTTTCTAATTACAAACATGCACATGTTGCTATGCCTTGTGACCCTCACATATTCCATATATTACTCTGAAAGATATTTTTATAACAAAAAGGCTATAACTTTTTCACAGTCCTTGATAATAGCAGCAGGAGTCAATCCAACATAGATATTTCAAGTTAATGACTGTGCTTCGCTTTACAGCTGCCCTGCCTATACTTCGGAACTATGCAGAGTAAAGACAAGTCACTTCAAATGAAGTACGACTCCCTAACCCATCATGATAAGAACCTTCAAGGAAGAGGACAAGAGCAGAAAAATGAAGCCGTTGATAAAACACTTAAAGTAACTACTACACAGTAAATGAACTGGACAGGGCAGTTGAAAATGAAAGATAAATTACTGTATGAAGAAAATTCACAATAGCATACCATACATCACTGCAACATTTCATTAGCCATTTCCGATAAGTAAATGGTCATTTGACCCAGGCTATCTCTTTGAAGTATATGAATTTGTTAACCTTTATTTGCCAAGGAAAGGTTATCTTAAGTTTATACAACTGCAATAACTCAGAATATAATTTATTTGCTATGAAGATATGCTTAATGGAATGTCACCTTGCAGAAGTTTCTACCTGTGAAATTTCGCTAAAGCTTAGCTTTCTAATGAAAAAGAACACTTTTCATTTGCAGGCCATACTAATCCACAAACTATGAAATCTAAGTACATCATACATCCAAAGTAAGAGCCTGTTCTTTATGACAAAAATTTAAAAAATGAACAACTAAAACAAGTATTCTTGAAATATGCAACTTCTAAAATAGCACACTTCAGGGATACAGTGAAAAAAATAAAAATAGTACTTTATAAACAAGGAAAAAAGCAACAGAGTACTAATGCCAAATACTAGTACTTTCTGTAGCTCAAAGAATGTGGATTTACCAATAATAAGCTCTTTATAAGTGATACATATTCAGCAGAACTAACTTCCAAGTGTTCACTGGAAATTATCTCTCAATTTTATCATTAAAGAAATGGAGCTCATGTTTTCACATGAATATAAACAGATCTTATGTTGTATGCTGCGTGTGACTAAAAATAAAACCTTTCAAATACACCTTGTCACATTCTTCTGAACTATTAAAAATGTCTAAAGGTCTCCCCTACAGGACATGGGCCCCTCCTACCATGTACATCTTACCCTTCAGCCAGAAGACTGGTATCTCTCAAACAAACTATATTTAATCGATTACTTCAAAGTGAAGTCAGTCAGACAGAGAAAGACAGATACCATATGATCTCACTTATTGTGGAATCTTTAAAAAAATGGGGACAACTCTAATTGAACAACAATTTAAAAAAAAACCCTGATTAGGTGTGCAAAAAAAAGCTCATAGATACAGAGAAAAAAAAAGACTGGTGGTTGCCCAGGTGGGGTGGGGGGAGGGTGAAATGAGCAAAGTGGGTCAAAAGGTACAAATATCCAGTAATAAAACTAGTCATGAGCTGTACAGCATGGTGATTATATTTAAGAATATTGTATTGTATATTTGAAAGTTGTTGGAAAAGTAGATCTTAAAACTCATTACAAGAAAAGAACATTTTTTGTAAATATGTATAGCAACAGATATTAACTAGATTTATTTGGTGGTAATTTTCCTCGTGTGTGTATACCTAAAATTAATATAATGTTGTATGTCAATTTGATCTCAATTTTTAAAAACACCCTCAAAGTATTTCAAGTAAGTACATGAAGTAAATAAGGTATTTCAAAAGTAGATTTAGTAAATTATTTCCCAATCTCCTATTTAATATATTCTTAGCAACTGACTATAGTTTAATGTCCAGAATGGAAAATAAATATTGTCAATTCCTCTTAGAAATTTCTTATAAAATGATATTTTGATGTCATTTTCAAGGGTATAGTCTATCTTCTGTGGAAATATTTTCCATAAAACTCTTTACAAAATTGAAACTGTTTCCAAGTGCTGTGTATTTACAATATCTTCCACATGCTTTAAAAATTGCTTTTAGTCTTATTAACCATTAGTATATTATTTCAAGCAAGTCTGTATGTAGAAAAATAACATAATTCAAAAACTTACCTCACAGTACATGCTCACACACTCACACGCACAGAATGTGAATACATACAAATGCAGTCACTGTGTTTCTTGGTCCAGTGTTTTTACTGAGACGGATATTTCAAGTACAAAATAATAATACTTCAACACGATTTGTTAAATTTTCTGCACTGTTTTTAAGTCTAATCACATGAGGTGAGTTCTTTGTAACAAAATGCACTGGTTTACTGTACAAACTATGAGATAAGTACCTTAGTAAACCTTATTACTAAGGTTTAGTAAACACTGTGTATGCTTATTACTAAACTCACATACCGAATGAATCCTCTACCAGTTCACCTTTGAAATCAGTTCACTTTTACTTCCAAGATTTAGTAAAAATAATGTATTAAATTGCCAATAATTATAGGATTATCAGCATAATTCCCTAATATAAATAAGTACAGTTGTTACCTGCAGCGTATACTTTTGTATTTCATCCAGAACAAAGTCCACTTCTTTCGAGGTCGTTAATGAAGCCAGATTCCCGCCAAGACTGTAGCAATAAACTTTGGCGGTGTCATAGCTTTCTCTACTGACATTGATTTTGAGACAAGCATCCCCAATATGATTCCATCCTTCTCCACAATGATGAGCTAGGGAAAAAGATCACAACTTATTTTGAGATTGCCAAAAAGCAAGTGGATTTTCACTTATTTTGGAATTCTAAATATAATTTCTATATTTGTTCAAATAATGTTAACAATAAAATATTTAAATATACCAATAAAATATACTAAACAAAATTTACCTAATAGTTTAGTAGAGAAGAAGAACAGAAGATTTTCAATTCTTCCTCAATTCTTAAACATAAGGCAAGCTATGGCTCTATAACATCTGTTAAAATGTGTTAACTGTTTGCTAGATTTTCTCTGTAAACCTGATGTATTGGCATATGGTTCTCCACAAGTAAAATGCTTAATATATATATATCCCAAAGTCCAACTTACATAATACAAGATCACTCCAAAAGAAAAATAGCCAGCATATAACAAAAGCAATTTCAAAGTTATCGCTATACCAGTGTAGCTAATTGTAGTCCAAATCTAATTTCCATAGCCCGAGGAATACTATTAATATTTTGATATAAGTTTGGTTCTTTGATTCTTTAATTATAATTGTGGGGAAAGGATTCTCATTTCATTCTATTTAGAGAAGAAACTATAATCTTTGCTTGTTAACACTTATTTTTACACAGCTATTCAGGTCTTTCTAAAGTTTTAACACACTATTCAGTAATAGTGGTTTATCCTTAAAGTTTAAAATGAACCTAAAAGAGGACTTAGTTCTAAAACACAGACTTATAAATATAAAGGCATGCACTAGAGTGCACTAATTAACAATTCAATGTTTTGTAAACATTGCTGCTCTGTAAGGTTTGACTACATTTTAGTCCCCACGTCACATTAAACACATCAGCGCCCCTGCCCCTGCAGCCTCGGATGCGGTAATGCCATCTCTACAGAATTGTTCGAAAGCACCTCTTCTCAAACGTGGTGGTCTGAGAGCCCTGTAACTTTTGATGACTCCACAGATCTTTTCTTTACCCACTTTCAGGCTGGTTTTGACCACATAAAAATTAAAGTTGAGCATCTAAAGATATATCTGTTTATTTAAAATTACAATGCAGGCAGACAGTTGATAGGTGGGGAGTGGGCTTGGGGAACTGGGTGAAAAGGTGAAGTACCAAATGGTAGTCACAGTGTAGTGACGGAGGTAAAGTACAGCACAGGAATACAGTTGACGATATCATAATAACCATGTACGGGGACAGGTGAGGGCTGGAAACACCCAGGGTTCCACTCTGCAAACCACGTGCTCGTCTAGCTGCATCTGAAACTAACGCAGAGTAACACTGACTACAAACTGGAACTGAAAAGACTGTTTGGGAAAAAACAAAAAGAGAAATAAATAAATAAAATTCATTACAAATACACTCTCCCAGCTTCTAGGATGTCTTGCCCTTTTATGCCATAATTCATGCCCAAAGGAGATGTATTGTCAAATTTGCTCCCTGAGAGAGAGAAACTGACAGTTCCAATTAGACCCTTTGCATCAAAAAATTATGGCCCTGGCTGGTGTGGCTCAGTGGATTGAGCGCGGGCGAAGGGTCTCGAGAGAGGGGGAAATAATGATGTTTTCCTCTCCTTCCCTTCCCGTAGTATTTTAATTATATGTACTGACAGATGAAGAGGGGAATGAGTAGACGGGGAGATTGGGAATAAAGCTGAGTGAAACATTTGTTCAAGAAGCTAGGGTGCGGCTATTTGGTGTCCTTGCTAATCTTCTTTCCATTTTTCTATATACTTGAAATTGTTCATATAAAATGTTTGGGGAAAATATCACAAATTAAAATGAATAGCATATTTAGGTTTTTTTAATGGTAGTATCCAAAACATAATAGTGAAAAGTGTATCACTATTTTACATTTGTGCAAATCTCTTTAATGGTGGATTAATATAAGACAACTATATTCTCATATCTGCTTCTCCATTCAATCTATTGGAATCATATGTTACATAGCCTTTGGAAAACTGTACAGTAATCCCATAGCAGAATGAGAATTAAAAATGCAAATAATATCTTAGTATTATGAGTTTTGACCTCATGGACCCATTAAAAGGGCTCATGAACAGGAGACTCCATTTCTTTAATAACTGCTGTTGTATTAAATTGAGTACCAAGAATAGCACACAGTTCCTGGAACACAGTAAGCCCTCAATAAACCATAACTATCATCTAATAAGACTGTTTAAAACACCTCTGTCTTCATTTCTAGGCGACACATACAGCAATCTTCCTGCCTTCTAGAATTGGAAGTACCAAATGACTTCAAGGCAACGGTAGAAAAGTTCTGTTAAACTAGGGCTTTTTCTTACATCATCAAATCAAAGTAGGGTTTAGGTTGGGTTTTTGGAGGCCAATCCACCTTTTTTCCCCCCAAGGCCAAAAATATATGATGGACAAATTATACAAATGAAAACAAATGCCTGGGCCTTTGAAGCTAGACTAACTTACACCATTGAACGCAGTGTTTTGATGTTTTAGGCTTCTGTAATATTGAGTATCAACTCAGCTTTGGAATTAAAAAATAGCAGTGAATTTGCCAAATGAGTTTAGTGAGATAAATTCAAACTTCCAAGTGTACATGAGACCAATTTAAAAATGGAATTCCTGAATTTTCATGGACAAGTGCCCCTGCCGTAGACTGGGCTCCCCACTCAGGCCACTGGCCGCCTTGGGGTGAGCTGGAAGAAAACCACACTATGGAGTAAATGTGGACACAGAGCAAGCGAAGCTGGTGTATAACACCATATTTTACTGCAGTGATTGTATTTTTTATTCTTCAAAATGTTAGCCTGTTCAAGTGGAGCCATTATACTAAACCAAAGTTTTTTCCTGGGCAATGAGTAGGCAGGATCTACCAAATATAATTTTATTATTATCTCAAAACTTCTGATGGTAACCAAATCCCTTTCTTATTGAAGTAAACATTCCTTTCAGTGAAATACTATTTTGGTCCAGGATTTACTATGTAAAGAGGCTTTGTAAGTATTTTTACTGATCAATAGGTCGATTTTAGGATTTAACACTTAGAGATCAGTATTACTTTTGCCCTGGATGGTGTGGCTCAGTGGATTCAGTGCCGGCCTGTGAACCAAAGGGTCGCTAGTTCGATTCCCAGTCAGGGCACATGCCTGAGTTATGGGCCAGTTTTACAGTAGGAGCCAGGAAAGAGGCAACCACACACTGATATTCTCCCTCTCTTTCTCCCTCCCTTCCCCTCTCTCTAAAAATAAATAAATGAAATATTAAAAAAAAAGAAATCAGTATTTTTTTTCAAGTTCACTGTCATCTCACTACTGCTTCTCAAATCCTGCCCACTGCATTACTATTTTCTAATTTTCTCAAAGTTCACACACATAAATATATCGCGGATCGCAAGCTTTAAAGGTTCGCTATGGCTGGGTAGCTCAGTTGGTTAGAGCATCATCCCAATACTTCAAGGTTGTGGGTTTGATCCCAGTCAGGGCAAATACAAGCATCAACCAACGAACCAATGAATGAATGCATAAATAAGTGGAACAACAAACCAATGTCTCTCTCTCCCCCCAACCCCCACCCTGTTCCTCTCTCTCCAAAAATCAAGAAATAAAAATTTTTTAAAAAATGAAAACTTTAAAGGTCAACATATAAACAAAATTCAAAATTTGAATCAACATTCCAACATCTCAATAGCACTTTTCAAGGCAATCTATGTTTTATTTAATTACGTGAACTTGTAAGAAAGACATGAATCCCATGATGGAATTTTTAATATACTTTAGAATTACATAGGTTTAGAATTTTTTTTTTACAAAAAATAAAGAGACAAATGAAAAGCATGGGACACAGAAAGATGTAAAATGGAACAGAATACCCAGTTAATAGTCACTTCTATTACAAGTCATGAAACCCTGAGCAAGTCACTCAACCAGGGTATCTATCAGCTTATCTGTGTCACAGGAAGATGAAACTGGCTAAATGTTTACATAACTTTTTAATGTACTGATTTTCCCCTGCATATTTATAAAGAAGAGCTTATAAATTAGTTCAGGTATACTAAGAAGAGTGTTAACAGTACAAAATAAACTGAAATTGCTTTTCAAGATGAGCTTTGCTCTCATTAGTAGAACTTAGATTCTCATTAAATCATATAATATTTATTAAGTGTTACAATTTCGAATTTAAGAAGTGGTAAGGAAAATACGGTTCCCACGATTTTAAAAAAAACACCACTTAAACATCAAATCAAATAGGTCAAAATGTTAACATCTGTTAAAATTTGGCCATCCGTAGGAGTGCTTATTACTTTCCATGTTAAGACATACATTTTTAAAATTGGAAGGGGATTCTATCGAGTCAATGGGATAAAAAAAATACAAGAAACCTTAAACATCTTAAAAGAATGGGAAGCAAACATACAAATATTCTTGTAGAAGCGAAGCTACCATTGTTTCAACAGTACCGTTCATTTGCTCTTAATTTCACTGGTGGAAAAGGGAATGTTCCCGCTAACAGCTCTTGGCAATGATGCTGCTCATCTGTGGACTGTAGAGCTCATTGACCGAACTGACATTTTTACCTGGTAAAGCCTGGCACTCTTGTTGTCTCTGATCCCACTGGCAGTTCAAGTTCAGTGAGCAGGTTTTACAGCTGGTAAGTTTGTTACAAATCTGCTCATTTTTCACATAGCATTTGGTGTAGTTTTTCACAAACTAGAAAGTTAAAAGATAAGACGTTACTTTTCACCTTTGTACAGCAATGATTCTTAAACTTCGGTGTAAATAAATTACCTGGTGAAGTTGAAAATACAAATTTCTAGCCCCAAGTTCAATTCTACTGAATCAGAATCTCTATTCGTTCAGTTAGTTAAACTACAGTTCTTGGAACTGGAACGTGTACATGTTGGACAGTGTGGGCAAATTACACCATTGGAAACAGAACCCATCTAATGAAAACATTTTCCATTGAAGTTGGTAACAGGCTTCCAATTCAACAAATAAAGCCAAATGCACAAAGCCATCTCTTTTAATGATCCCATGAAAGAATTCCAGTCATAATAAAACTATCATGCAAATCCCCGAATGAAGTGGAAATGATATGCCGTAAAAATTTAAGAGATGCTTCATCAGAATCCAATAAATTTTTTAAATGAATTATTCTCTCAATAACTCAAACTAATTTTATTCCCAGGGACATTAAATATTGGTTTTGGTTAATTGATGTTTCTCCTGTATGTCATATTGCCTTTATCCAGGCTGCAAACAACCTGCAGAAGCTACTTTTTAAAAAATGTTTATTGAATGACTTTCAGAGAAACATTGATTTGCTGTTCCACTTATTTATGCATTCACTGGTTGCTTCAGGTATGCGCCCTGACCAGGGATCGAACCCACAATGTTGGCGTATTGGGAGGACAATGCTCTAACCAACGGACCTCCCCAGCCAGAACTGTAGTATGTAACCGTATTTCGATTAATTCAGCACGAAGAGTTTAAAAGTTAAAAAAGAAAAACACAGGCAACATAGGAACTTCAGCGGCAGTCCCTGGATACACCAAGGTTCACACACTTCGCGTACCGTCAATACCTATGGCACAGCCTACCTTGTCAAAATCGGACACTAACACTTCTGGCCCAGCTCTTCCTGGGATGCTTCTCTGAAGAGAGTCATGAAGGACTTACTGCTACTCCTGGGCCCCACCTCCACCCTGTTTCCTCTGCACAGGTACCAGTGCTCACCTGGGGCTTGCTCATATGAGGAAGCTGAACACTTCTTTTCAGTCAGTCAACTTAAAAGTTAAAACTTAGTACTAACTATCCCATGTAGAAAACCAGTTAAAGCGATCTTCATCCTCTTAGATACTTCTGAATATCCCCACCAGATACCTATTTGTCAACTCTTAGATTTTCCTACACAAAACACACAGTAGTCCCCTTCAGTGCAAAGATGTTCATTCCTTGGGAGCAAATTACACAGACTAGAATGTAACGTAAAAAGTACAGATAGTCGTGTTTATCTTTATGCATCCAAAAACAGCAGCAAATACAATTTTTAAGATCTCATATTACTTTGTGACTCTTACTCAACCATCATATTTTCATTGGAAACTTATTAACTTCCTTGTTATTTATTCTAATTCAGTTTTAGTTTTCAGGTAGCATATAAATCAGTATTAGTCTATATGATCACTGTAGTTCCCAACCCTTGCCAGCCAACAAGAGAAATAAATTTACTCGACTCCTCTGACAAATAGAATTACCGAGAAAAATGACAAGAAAATGGCTAAACAACATCTTAAAATGAGAGAAAGAATAACATACAGAGGCCGGATCTTAGAATAACAACGACATCATTAGGGCCACCATCCAAGTAACTATACTGCTCTTCACTAACAACCGTACAGTCACTGACTGGTGCTGAACCAGTACCGTAGATGAAACCATTTTTCATTTGCACACAGGGCCAATTTAATCAATCATGGAAGAAAGCGGAGAGCTATTCTGAAACATGGCTGCCATTTTGGGGCCTCGTGAAGCAGATGAACATTGTAAACAGACTACGCAGACTAACCATTCCTCTACTGGTCTTCACTCCAACATAGACAGAAATTTAAAATAAAAAGCTGGGAGAAGTAAGCAGCCTATTTGAACTATTAGAGCACAATATTAGCAACTTGCAGTAAATATGACTAAATAATGAAACAGGGTATCAATGGATGTCATTTACACTAAAATCTCATAGACCTTTCTGTACCCATTAGCATTTGGTTTAGCTTAATCACCAGACACCGTGATAAAACTGTCTGAAAGACACATTACATCAAAGTCTAAATTACAATGAGTACCATCTGCTCACTCATGCTACCTCGCCCACTGCTTTACTTGTTAACGCAGCATTAACAAAAATAAAACAGAAAGCAAAAAAAGCACCTTCTAAAATGGATACTTGATAGCAAATGATATCCCACAACTTTTTCAGGCATATCTTCACTTAGGGTCAATGTCCAGACACAAATGAACTCAGGGTTAGCCAACAAAACTTTAAACAAAATCTGCCTGCAATGTTTACCTACTGACATTCTCCATTTTAGTTCCTTAGCCTTCCTTACACCTCATTCTCCTTCCTTCCTCCTGTTTCCACGTGACCCGCCAACATAACTCATGAGATGAACACTAATCCAAGCATAAAAAAGTACTGCAGATTTTCAAAGACCAGTCACGTCATAGTAACATTATTAAAACAAATAAAATGGAAGTATGTATTGTTATTGGAGTAACTTGCATCACTAGAATGCACACGGCGGGCACGAGTAGGTTTACAGTTGTTTGTATGGAAAATAACACAATGATTGATAAATAATACTACAGGAATAAACTCTGTGTTTTGCATACCCACACTGGAAACCTGCTTTTTGCCTGTATTTCAAAACCACTTGTATGAAAGCGAAAAGATTTATTTGATGAGTCAATAACTAAAAATTGTCCTCCATTTTGAGTTTTGAATATCATTGTAGAATAGAATCACAAAACTTAGTATTTTGAAATATGACTGGTTAGTGCAGAAAATTCTCAGATGACACAATAGGAGTTTTTTACTTATTTTCCAACCCCCTTTTCTTTACCTTTCATCTCTGCCTGCTATTTTGAAAAACAAAATAGACACTTTTGTTGATTAATAAAACTCGAGAAAAATCATGTATATTGTATTTAGTTGAAAACTGGTATGCACATTAGTTATTTAAGCTGTAGCCCAACTGGGGAAACTTTAACAATAGGAAATATACTTCTTAATACATTTTAAATTTTTATTTCAATCTGTTGACATCCAAAACACACGGCATTTTTAGGATCCACTTAAAAAGGTTAAATTTTGCTGCTCTTAATCAGTTTTCGCCTGCCATAAATATTAATGTCAAGCATCTACCTAAAGTAGGGTTTCTCCATCCTACCACTATTGAGGATCTGAGCCAGATACCTTTCTGCGGGAGCTCTGCACACACACTGTAGGATGTGTAGCAGCATCCCTGTTCTCTGCCTACCAGATGCCACCATCAGCCTCACAGTCATGACAAACACAAATGTCCACACACATTGCCAAATGTCCCTCGGGGCACAAAGCTGCCCTGGCTGAGAAGCACTGACCTCAGGACAGATGCTGAATAAAAGGGAAACCCAAACTGCCGATGCCTCGGGTTAAACTTACACACGAGGTATGTAAATGAAATGCGAGACTGTACCACTACCAACAAGATCTCCCTGGATATGATTTCTGTAAGTACCTATGATCCCATTTCCATCGGCACTGAAGACAACATTTACAGCCATAAATCTTTTTATTTTAAATCAGCTTTGTAAGAATTTTCCCAATCTTGTCCATGAAAAGAAGTACAAGTAACTGGATTCAACTGTAACCTACACTGACAAATTCGAACGACGAATGACAGACAGAACTGACAACATGCTGAGAGAGGGGTCCCCTGCACGTTTTCTGAATTTTGTTTTCTGAGTGCTGAACGCCTTGATGTGAAAAGGGCTCTATTTTACAGTCCTAATACGTGGCATACTAATGATTACCCAGCGGCGACGTTAAGCCCACCACCGAGTGCCCTCGCGTACTGACCACGCTGCAGTTACTGCTGGCCGACATGCACTTCTTGTCGTCACACCACTGACATCCGTTGGTATTGGCCGTGCAGCTGGCGCAGTCTGCGTATCGGTAACACCTGTCATCAGAAGCCACTGCAGTGCAGACAGGGGACAGAGGCCCATCAGAATGGGAACGGAAATGTCACGCTTCTCAATTCACACATTTTCAACATCTGTTTGAGATTCGCTGAGACATTGTGAAACCATGAGCATGACCATCAATATCAAAATCAGTTCTTCAGTATGAAGTCAACTTGGTGGCTAATTGTGTTTACAAGGTTTTAAACACTTCCTGCCCTCATCTTAATGACTGAATCTACCAGGATCTACAGCTATTTAAAATGTACACATTACGGAGGAGGGAGAAGACTCACAGGTAATTTTGTGAGCAAAATGTAGTGCTATTTACCTAAAAGAAAACATTACAACAAATACTGATCATCACTCTTCATAAAGATATGGAAACACACCTGAGTTATAGATTAACGAAACTTGAAAATACATTTGCTAATTGTAGCACTGTTTACAAATTCACCCATTGAAAGAAAATTGAACAATTGTTAGCCTAGTAGCCCATTTATAAATAAATATTTATTAGTAATTTTTCATAAGTCTGATTTATTCACTCAATATTTCATATGAAATATTAAACCAGAACATTAATCATTGAAATTATAGAAATTGTTTTTAACTTCATGGTCTGGCTTGGCAATAATTCAGGAAGAAAAAAATAATACCAAGTGCATAATAAATTACTTCATTTTATTTCTTTGAAGCATGCAGTATTTCTTAGAAAGAATTACTTGAAGTCATTTTTTACTCACATAGGAAAATAATTCATATATATGGTCATGTCAAGTATAAAATATTGATACGTAATTTTACATGCAGAATTTTAGAAAGAAAACTAAAAATAGCTAATAAAGATATTAAATTATTAATTGCTGTCTAGTTCAAACACCAGATTCCTAATTAGAGGATTATACATTTTTAATTTCTGAAAGCCACAAAGGCAATTCTTATAAGCAGGATGCATTTCTACGTCTAGCCCAGCAGAGATGTGAGAAAGAAAAGAAATGCAGCTCTTACCTGTTTTAGGAGGACACTTCGCTCTAAGAATATTATTCGGACTCCCAGATTCCCAAGATTCACAGTAATTTTTATTCCAAATACATTTTATCCCTGGACCAGCATTTTTACAAAGCTCTTCATCTCTAAAAGCCTTGCAATTTGGAGGCTTGTATACAAGGATGTCATTAAGGAGCACACTAGAAAATCCTCCAAATATATACATGGACCTAACAAAAAGCAGAACAAGAATCTTACACAAACAATGTTAACAAAAGTCCCTGTTTAATGTGTTCGTTTCACAAATGAATTTAAATATATATTTTATACTATTTTACAGAGGGAGGAGACAATGTTTTAGAAATAGATGCTTGCTGTACATGTATTATAAGGTACACCGTAGAATTGCTATCTAAAATTGTAATTTTAAAATACAGACATAAAATTTCGAAATTAAATAAGGAGATCTTCTTACGGTGTTTTACCATCCCATTATAAAATTCACAAAAAGAGTAAAATAGTCAGAAAGATTTTCAAAATTTCAATTTAGAAAGAAAATCCCAAGCACTGAATTAATTAGGATCTCCACTGCCAAAGATGAGTGACGTGCCCTGACAGTAACACTGTTATCTCTAAAAATGTTATTAATATAATCATAAATGGAAAAGGTCAGAAAATGCTTCAATAACATCTTTTGTTATTTAAGAGAAGTAAAATAGAAATCAACAAAACACAATTTTTCAACAGAGAAGCCTAAAGGTTACATATATTTACATTATGAATTTCACGCACTACTATTTTGAAAGCCAACTGACATCAATTACAGTTTCACTGTAGTTAACTTCTACCTGCTTTTAGTATCATACTGGAGAATTTTGAGATAATTTGAGTAAAATAGAAATAAAATGAACTTATAAACATGTTATTATGAATTATACATTTTAAGCTAGTGAATGAGCTAGCATAATTTTACTATCACTTGAGTCCATATTACCAAATCTCTGCTACAGAAAGACAGACAAACTTGTAAGAGGAAGGTAACTTCATGATCATCCAGTCCAAATTCCCAGTGGATTTAAGGATATCCAAATCCAGATGGGTTAAAAGACTTGCCAAAAAGCATGCGTTGATAATGACAACTAAAATGAATTCTCCTCATGACCCTTGTTCTTTCGGATGAAACATGCACTAGCCTATCACTTCAGTGCCATCTTTTTAAAAGATGTACACATTACGGAGGAGGACATAGCTGGTCTCGAGGACGGAAAGAAGGCGGGATGACTTTTTTAAGTGTCTGAAGTTGTACCTCAGCACCTTTCCTTTGATGACCCCCTACCCCTTAAACATATTTAAACACAAAAAAAGAATGGAGAATATGGTTAATGAGCCAAAGGTACTCCACGGTACAGCAGGGATACATAAAATCAAGTGCCATTAAGTAGAAGTGGTATTTTTGAAAGAACAACAGAATATGCAGAGAGTAAAACTGATAAACGTATTTCTTTTACCCGTTAATGACAACTGCAGAGTGTCCAAATCTGTTGACATCTCTATGAAGATTTGGTTTCGGTAATATTTTCCATTCATCACAAGCTAGAAAAAAAAAGAGAGACCAGAAAAACAGAAAATGAACATAAAAAAATGAATGCAAATACTAAAAAAACAATCATTGGTCAAATTAATGATACAATACACAAAGTTAAGAAGCCTTTCATTAATTTTTCATGACCAACAATTTAGTATTGTTACTCAGCTAGCATTATTTCTTAAATAGAATGGCTTTTGCCTAAAATGCCCACAAATAAATTCATGTGTATGAGAATAAAGGAGATGAAAGAAAAGAAAATGGGTGTATTTTATATTGGGAAATAACCTTTTTCTCTTTTTTATCTTTATTATACTTTCCCATGACCATTTAGCTCCCTTATACCCCACTACCCCCAGTAATCACCACATTGTTGTCCACGTCCACGAGTCCCTTTTCCTTTTTGCTCACTCCCTCTACCTCCTAAGATCCCCCCACCACTTGCTGTCATCCATTCTCCATCTATGAGTCTGTCTCTGTTTTGCTTATTAGTTCAGTTTGTTCATTAGATTCCACATACGAGTGAGATCACATGGTATTTGTCTTTCTCTGACAGGCTTATTTCACTTAGCGTAAAGGAGGAGAGCTTAAGAAACATCTTGGACAACAGGAAAAGCAAAATAATTTCAATGACATTATCTTTACCAAATAAACCAAGGTTCATATACTGAAATAATACATGAACATCAATACCAGGCAAATCTAGTAGAAAGTTAAATCACTAAATCAAACTTTATATACATGCATACAAAATTAAGTGAGATATATCATTTTCAATGAAAGAATGTCTAAAAATAGAATTATCAAAATCAAATATTTAATATGGAATCCCCAAAGACTCTGAATACCCAAAGTAATCTTGCAAGAGAACAAAGATGGAGTTATCATGCTCCCTGATTTCAAACTATATCACAAAGCAATAATAATCAAAACAGTATGGTACTGGCACAAATACAGGCACACAGGTCAGTGGCGCAGAATAGAGAGGTCAGAAATAAACCCATGATCATCAGTCAATTAATCTACAGAAAAAGGGGGAAGAATATAAAGTGAGGGAAAGACAATCTCTTCAATAAATGATATTGGGAAAACTAGACAGCTACATGAATATAACTGGATTACTCTTACATCTATGAAAGTAAACTCAAAATGGATTAAATTATTAATATAAGACCAGAAACCATAAACTCCTAGGGAAAAAAAAAACTCTTTGGCATCAGTCTTAGCAATATTTTTTAGATCTGCTCCTCATCTAAGAGCACCATAAGCAAAAATAAACAAATGAGACTACATTAAACTAAGAAGCTTCTGCACAGTGAAGGAAACCATCACCAAACAGACAGTAATCAATTAAATGAAAGAAGATATTTATAAGTCACATATCTGATTAAGAATATCAAAAATATACAAAGAACTCATACAACTCACTATCAAAAAAATCACCCCATTAAAAATGGGCAGGAGATTTGAATATATATTTTCCTGATAAAGACATACAGATGGCCAACTGACACAGGAAGAGATGCTCAACATCTCTATTCATCACGGAGATGCAAGTCAATACCACATAAGCTCTCACCTCACATCTGCCAGAATGGCTATAATCAAAAGACAGTAAATAATAAGTGTTGACAAGGATGTGGACAAGGGGAAACCCTGGTGCAACACTGGTGGGGATGTAAACGGATGCAGCCACCGTGGAAAATTGTACAGGAATTCCTCAAAAAGCGTAAAAGAGAACTCCTATAGGATCCACCTGCTCCACTTCTGGGCATTTATCTGAAGAAACAAAAATGCTCATTTGAGAAGATATATGTGCCTGTAGATTTATTGCAGCATTATTTACAATAGCCAAGAGATAGAAACAATTGTCTACTGACCAATGAATATTTTCTAGTGTTTTTACAATGTTTTATCCACAGAAACACTTTTCACATAACACCTGTGACTCTTCCAAGAGCCAATGCTCTGAAAATCACATCTTGGGGAATACTTTTATAGACAGCTGCACATGGGGTTAAGTCTGCTGATTTAACCTGCTGAAGTTCATTGAAGAAATGTGTGTAGTACTATAAAACTTCCCTGCGTTTTTATCTCCACCACTTAAAGTAGGCTTTATAAGAATCCTGTGAGGTTGATTGTGCAGGTATTACCTCATGTTTAAAACATTTAACAATTAGACCTAGGACAAGTTAAGCAATTTATTTAAGCCTACTTGATTACATTTGTTTTTCTGAAAGTTATGTTTATGAATATTTGCAATTATAAAACTAATTTGATGGAACTGCCCAAATGTCCATCAGTAAATAAGAATACAAAAACTGTGGTATATTATACCATGGAATATAGTTACTTGGCCATTAAAAAGAAGGAAACCTTACCATTTGTGATGGCATGGATAGACCCGGAGAGAGTTATGCTAAGTGAAATAAGCCAGTCAGAGAAAGACAAATACCATACGATTTCACGCATATGTGGAATCTAATGAACAAAATGAACTAACAAGTAAAATAGAAACAGACTCATGAATAGAGGGCAGGCTGACAGCCAGAGGGGACTAAGAGGGTAGAGGGATAGAACAAAAGACAAAAAAGAAAAAAAAGCCACAGACATGAACAGTGTGGGGACTGCTGGGAGAAGGGGGGATGGAGGCGGGTGGAAGAGGGTACAGGGAAAATAAATGGTGATGGACGGAGACTTGACTCTGGGTGGTGAACACACAGTGTACAGATGATGTGTTATAGAGTTGTGTACCTGAAACCTCTATAATTTTGTTAAACAGTGTCATCCCAATAAATTTAATTAAAAAAAGAACAAAAAAGAACTGTAAAACAATATTCACATGTGGAGAGAAGATGTGACCTGAAAAGGGCACAGACTATGACAAGGAGGTGATGAAGAGTTCACTAGTTAGGAGGGACAGGTTTCAAACATTCCATCCAATCTAAACACACACACCCAACCCACATGACCGCTGATTTATAAATTATGTGTTGGGTACAGGATTCCAACAATAGAATTAGAAACCAGAATATTCTTCAGAAAAGGAAATCAGAAGAGTCAGATGAAAGAGTAGGGTTTCCAGAAAGTAGGACTTCCAGAAATCAGCTTATTATAAAATCTCCAAAGAAGAATTTTCAAGGTCGTTTTCGGACATCCATAGTCCAGAAAAGACAACGGTCCAACAACCTGAGCCCGCCTTGGAGTAAAGGTGAGGAACTTGGCCGACATCCAATACAATCCAGGCGTGAGAAAGAAAGGCAGGCAGATTTTCAGGATGAAAGAAAGACATAAAATATGCTGAGGAAAACTATCTAAGAAGTGAGTTAGGGAAAAGAGCTAATAGAAAAAAAACAAGCATAACCACAAATTTAGCTTTTTAAGATTTCTTCTAACTGTATGAGATGTTCTTTTTCAGGAAAAAAACAATTTTCAGTGCACAGTATGGTCTAAAAATAGCACTACAAACACACGGTTACCACTACCCAGATCTGACAAAACCGTTATATCATATTTACTATAGTTTTCTAAAAAAAAAAATTACAGATAACATTGAGTTTTCTTGTGTACTCCCTCCCCAATTCACATTTTTTAACATCTTCCCTCTTTGGGGGCAACCACTGTTCCTACATTTGCTTATCAAGGTTTCTGTATTTATGATACATGTATAGTATTTTGTGTAGGTTATAAAAGTTTATATTAATACAAATGACATATTATACACAAAAATGATATTCATCTGCAACTTGCTTGGTTTATTCAACTCACTGAGTTTTGCTTTTAGGTTTGTTTGTTGTATTTTTTTTTTTACCATTGTAATCATTTTTAAGTGTGTGGTTCAGTGGTACTAAGAACACTCTCAGAGTTGTTCGCGCACCATCATGATGATACCAGAGTGTTCTTCATCCTGCTACACTGAACCAGGGGTGTCCAAACCACAGTCCAAGGGCCACATGCGGCCCAGGGTGGCCATAAATGCGGCCCAACACAAAATCATAAATTTACTTAAAACCTTTATTTTGTTCCTCAGTTCTCATTAGTGTTCATGTATTTTTTTTAAATATTAAATTTTATTTAGTTACTTTTCAAGTACATTTTTTATCACACCCCCTCCCTCTCCAATGTGTGGCCCAAGACAACTCTTCTTCTTCCAGTGTGGCCCAGAGACACCAAAAGTTTGGACACCCTGAAATAATAATTCCCCATTTCCCTCTCTCCCCAGTAACCCTATGTTATGTTTAAGTTCCTCACCTAAGTGGGATCATATGGTTTTCCTCCTTTTGTGACTGGATTATTTCATTTAGCACAGAGATTTTTCAACTGGTGTGCCGCAAGAAATTTTAAAACATGCAAAACTTAACTGTGTAGTCAGGGGCACTGACCTCTTTTCCCTTACATTGTCAAATAAAAAATGACAACAACCAACAGAACAATAGCTACTTGGTGTGAATGAATCAAAATTATACCTATTTTTGTCAGAACAGTAAAATATATATATATTTTAGTGTGTTATAGAATTTTAGTAGTTAATGTGGGTCATAGGATGGAAAAGGTCTCGAAAGAAAAAAGCGAGCAAAATATAACCAAGACATTGAAATTAAGAACAATCAGATAGTAACCAGAGGGGAAGATAGGAGGGGATAAGGGTTTTCAGGAACAACTATAAAGGACACATAGACAAAGCCAAGAGGGGGTGGAAGCAAGGGAGGGAGGTGGGTTTGGCTGGGGGTGGGGGGGAGTGGTGGGGCGTAAATGCAGACACCTATAATTGAACAACAATAACATATTTTTAAAAAAAACAAACAAGGTTGAAAAATTGCTGATTTAGTATAGTGTCTTCAAGTTTCACCCATGCTGTGGCATGTGTCAGAATTTCCTTCCTTTGTGAGCCTGAGTAATATTCCAATGTGCATGTATGTGTGTGTATGGATATATACACACACATAGATATGGGTATCTATATATATAGAAGGATATATAGATATCCATGTGTGTGTGTGTGTGTGTG